CTGTGGATCATGTACCACACTGGCCTCTTCCCCAGGCACATGGCTCTTACCCAGAGCATTTCTGGGCTCCCCTGGTGGTGGCCACCCGGCTGGAGCTGCTCCATGGAACTCTGGAGGAAGGAGAAAGCAGCAGCGTCAGCCCTGCTGTGCTGCCCTCCCACCCTCTGCTCCCACCCAGCAGCCTGGTTTGCCCCAGCTGTGGCTGCCTTCTCCTCTGTACCTTTTCCTGGTGGGTTTTCAGGGCTCTGCCCAACCATTGCTGCCCTCACAGCCGGGGCAACTCGGCCCAAGGGCCACGCTGGTGCCTCCCAGCACGTGGCAGAGTTGTGGTGGGACCAGTGCCTGAGGGGCCCTCCTGGGCACCTCTGCCCCGGGGCCAGCACCCACCTGTGCCTCTGGCTGCATCGGGGAGTCAGGGAGAGATGGCATCATGCCACAGCGCATCCTGGCACTGCAGTGAGCCCCACATGCCAGGGCTCATCCCATCCCGCTCCCACACAGCTTCCCTGGCCCTCACAGGTGGCAACCTGGCACCTGCCAGCACCTGCAAAGCACCTCCGGTGCTTTGGTCCCTTCCAACCCAAACTGTTCTGTGATTCTATGAAAATAAGGAAAAATATTCTTAAGCCCCCGAGAGGCCTGGAGTTCCCACCCGCCCGTACTTGCCTGTGATGGGTGCTGCCTGCAGCTGTGCCCACAGGGCAAGGAGCCCCAGCAGGAGGGTGCCTCGTGCCATCCTGCTGCCGAAGTCTATGTCCAGGGCTGTGCCAGGTGGCAATTTAAAGTGCCTCGCAGGCAGCCCGGGTCCAGGAATGGGAGGAGGCAGCTCACAGGTGACTTCAGGAACCTCCCACATTTGGCTGTAATTCTGTTTACTGGAGAGCAATTCCAGCTGCCTCTTTCCACCCACAGCCAAGGCTGGAGCAGGATCCAGAGCTGGCTGCCCGCCGAGTAGGACAGCGCAGGGACTGGAGGAGGGAAGGGGAAACCAGGACTGCACAGAGGCAGATTCTTCACTGCTACTCTCAAGAGGAATCTCCACCACGACCTTGGTCAACAGCAGTGGCCCCAATGCCAGGCTCTGCCCGAGTGCTGGGCTCTGCTGCAGGCAGGAGCCCACCCGGCCCTGCCACCCCAGACAGAACAAGCACAGGGCAAAAGCACCCACCTGGCAGCAGCACCCAGAGCTGCCTCCTTCTACACACAAATGCCCTTCATTCAAGGCTGCTGTCTCACATGTGGGACACTCTTTGCAGGTTTTTGCAGGCCCAATATTCAAGGCTTCATTTGAGCACTGGTCTCTGAGCCATCCCATTCCCAAGCAGAGCTCTCCAGCTCTTTCGGTGTCCCTACTGTCAGTCGCCAGGTCTGGGCACCCAAATGAGCGAGCTGAAAATCTCAGCAAGTTAACATTTTCCCCTGGCCCCACAGTCCTTCTGCTTTGTGGCCTCCCCAAGTGCCCCATTATCACAGGGCAGCCCTGTGTGGCCCAGAGTACACAGGGCACAGCGAGAGCTCAGTGTGTCCTTCCCCCAGTGCAATCACAGACTCCATAAGGCGCCCTCCAAGCAGCTTTTGGGAACTCTTGAGCATGGATTGCAGGGTTTAGTGTCCACACATGAGCATCCCAGTAATTTACACATGAGCATTCAATAACCACATGAATTCATGTGGGAGTGGGCAGTTACTGCACACACGAACACCAAATTAGTTACTGCCCAAGCAAAGGTCTGCTCCAATTAAACGATGCTGCACTAAAATGGACCTCTCTGGAGGAAAAAATCTCAGGATTTCAAGGATGAGAGCTCACCCAAGGCAAGGAGAGCACAGGAACCTGCCTTCAAACTGCCAGCCAAACTGGTGGCTTCACTGGAGACCCACAGTAAGAGTAAATGAAAATTAAATGCACAGCCACACTGCCTTCCCTTTTCTCTGCATCTGATCTCAGAGTAAAGACTTATTTAGTATATTTGAGAGAGCAGATTCATCTTAATTAAGATTCAGTTCTGTGAATGCTAACCTGTTTACACTGTTATTCTCCAGTCACCCAGGAGTGCTAGATGGAATCTGATTTCGCAATTTTTTCCTTCCCTATTTAATTATCTCTTCCTGAGTTACACACAAATCAAAGTGCAGTGAATAAGATAGGAGAACTTAAGGACTGGTCTGCCCAGGACACATCAGCACCAAGCACGAATGGGTCAGACTTGCTGGATCAAAAGACAGAGTTTAAATCTGAAACTGTGGGGTGAATGAAATTAATTGGTTTGAGCTCGACGTTATTTCTATGACTCCAAGCAAGTGCTGGCACTTGACACGAGCACTGGGAAGGCAAAGTCATGCTAAAAGAGCTTTTCACCAACGCTGTGTCAAGGCGATGGAGGGGCAGCACGAGGGAAAGAGCACAGCTCCACACTGCCAAACCTGTGTGGGAAGAGGGCTCATGGGCAAGAAAAATGCTTTAACTACAGGCCTCCTGCCGTGACTCAAGGCGGATGCAGTCCCTCCGTGAACTGCCCACGTCCACCAGAGTTCCAGTGCCCCACATCTCGCGGCTCCCCGGCGGAACCCGACGGCCCAGTGCTTATCGTGCCTTGCTGTGGCTGTTAATCACTGCCGAGCAGGACGCTCTGCTGACTCCTTTCCACGCACCTGGAAAACCATCTGGAACAACCTGAGGGATCACAGGGCTCCTACCAACCCCGGGACTGCCACAGCGGAGAGATCTGCTGCCGTCCCCATGCTCGCCCAGCAGCTCCTCCTTCCTCTTGGGAACAACAGCGTCATTTTGGCATGTTTCCATTTTAGCAGACCATAATCCTGGATAACGTTTAGGGAACTAATGGAGGAGAGTGTCTGACAAGCAAATGGCTCTGCTGAAATAAATGCCTGAGGACACAGAGGGACAGAGGGGACTTCTTCAAAGTCAGCCTGTAAATCAAATAGGAACTTGGGTAACCTCAGCTGTAAACCAGCCATTCATGTCTGGCAGGCATGCACAGGCTGGCGTGTTTTGTCATGTGCACCTACCACACAGATCCGTGGAAAAATCACCATTAAAAATCAGGGACTGGAGGAGACTCCACAAGGCATTTCACCAGTTACAGAATCACAGAATCAACTAGGTTGGAAAAGACCTCTAAGATCGAGTCCAACATAAGACCTAACATCACCTTCTCAACTAGACCATGGCACTAAGTGCCACATCCAGTCTTTTCTTAAACATCTCCAGGGATGGGGACTCCACCACCTCCCTGGGTAGCCCATTTCAATGCCCAATCACCCTTTCCATAAGACACATAAGTCGGTAGAATTTGGACTGGACATGTGTATGTCACATTTAGGTGATCTCTGACAAATGTTGTTATGACATGCTCTTAAAAAGACATCCCTCTCCCTGCAAAGGTGGCAACTCTTTCATTGAAAATTTGTTCCAGGATTTAAGTCTTCTTGTTAATTGGAAAGATCTGGCCCAAGTCTCACTTGATTCAAACCAATACAATGACAACTTGTCCACTCACAGTGGGTACAGAGCACAGCCACTCTCACAGGTTAACAGAACCATTCTCCTCACCTTTCCCTGGGAGTTCCTACAGCCACAGTTATTTTTCTTCTCCTCTGGGCAATGTCCAATTTTTGTTGCTAACAATTTGGAGCAACCAAAATAAGCACGCAAGCAGCCCAGTGCTGCTGATAATGAAGTCATGTCGATGCTGATGGTGACTCTGTTGGCCCCACATCCGCCACTGGATTTGTGTAACAGCCTGAGCTCACCCCGGGCTTGTGCAGCCCTGGCCAAAGCGGCAGGAAGGGGATAAGGCAGGAGCCTTTTGCAGCACGTGAGCCCTGTGAGTCAACAGCCTTTGCTCCCACAGCCACTCCAGGCTCCCACAGGAGCCCAGTGTGGTCACTGCTGGGCTGACAGCTACAGAGGGAGAGTCACACTGAGGGGACACGGCCACAGCTGCAGTGACAGGTGCTGAGAGACAACAGCAAAGCAACCTCCGGAGGCACCAGCGTGTAGTGCCAGCACTGGGATCACAGAACCACAGAATCATTTGGGTTGGAAAAGACCTCTGAGGTCATGGAGTCCAACCTTTGACCAATCGCCTCGTCAAGTAGATCATGGCAACAAGTGCCACGTCCAGTCGCTTCTTGAACAAAAACAAAAAGTGTGTGGGAAGGCCAGTGGGAAGGAGATCCCACCTCCCCCTGTGGCACGGCTCAGGGCTGCCCCACTGGCACAAAGGACAGGCCAGCACCCGGAGACGGCTGCTGGAACACACCTCTGCTCTGCACGGCAAGACCTCGAGCAGCCTTGGCATCCTGCACTCTGGGAAATCCCCTTTGCTTTGTTTATCTCACCAAATCATCTTGGAATGAGGAAAAACATTACCAGCAAAACAGCAAATGCTTTTTAATGCAAATTGATATCCAGCTGACCCAACAGAAACCCAACCAGGACACAAGATGATCTAGAAAACGACAGACAAGTTGTTTTGACTATTCTGCACACGTTAAACGAGATGAGGAAATGTTGGTTTGGGGTGTTTGCTCAGAGAAACAATGAGATGCCAGAAAGATGAGAGGTGGAAAATTACACAAGGAACACAAAGATCATGGAAAGACCAGCATTCACACTCCTGCAGCTGCAAGTACTCGGCTCTGAGGGGCAGGGGCCACGCGTGACCAGCTCCACCCGCGACAGGGTGAGTTTAAGGCTTTGGGTCTGAGGATTTGGAGCCGACCGTCCATCACCGCACTGATCCGTGAAGCTGCACCTCCTCGGAACGAGGGGTTTCTTTATTGCCGAGCGCTCGGGCACGACCTGGCACCCACGGGCGCGTCCGCGGGGCTGCACAAACCAGGCGCCGAGGCTTAAACAAGGCGCGAGGAACAAGCAGCGGTGGCGGCACGGAGGGAGGTGCCGAGCACGGGAGGTTGGCACAGACACGGTCCCCCGGGGAGGACCCGGCGGGGACACCCGGGGGGCTGCGACCCGCGCTCCGGCGGCGCCTCCAGGGCGGGCACCGTGTTCGTCCCCGGGGCTGCCCCCGCCCCGAGCACACGCCGTGTGTCCCCCCGGGCGTGTCCCTGTCCCCGCTCCCGCCCCGGGCTCGGACCGGCCCCGTTGCCGTGGCAGCGGCGTCACATCCGTCGGGGCCCGATGATGTAGGGCGGGATCCCCGCGCATCCGGTCGCTCGCACCGCAGCCGGGAGCGGGGCCATGGGCGCCGCCCGCGATGCGGAGCAGCAGCCGGGGCCGCCGGGCGAGGAGGGCCCGGGCGATGCCGAGGAGCAGCTGGTCAGCACGGTGAGGCGGGGGCCGGGCCGGGCCGGGCCGGGGGGCGGCGGGGGGCGGCGGGGCCGCGGCTGACGCGTGTGTCCCGCAGAGCCCCTGGAACATCATGATCAAGCACCGGCAGGTGCAGCGGCGCGGGCGGCGCTCCCAGATGACCACCAGGTACGGCGGGAGCGGGATGGGCGGGCAGGGGAGGCTGGAACAGCGGGACTGGGCCGGGCACCGGGCCGGAGGGAGGATCTGGGTTAGACCGGGCCGGGGCAGGGGGGTCCCGCGCCTCCCCGTCTGACCCCTCCACCCGCAGCTTCACGGACCCGAGCGTGTCTATGGACCTGCTGCGCGCTGTGCTGCAGCCCAGCATCAACGAGGAGATCCGGGGCGTCTTCAACAAGTACATGAAGGTGAGTGCAGGGCACAGGTGGGCAGCAGGTGTGTGGGGGCACCTGGGCTGTCACCGAGGCCGTCACGCCAGTCTGTGGGAGCTGGGCCCTGCGCCTGCCTCGACACTGCACAGGCTCTCAGCCTCTCCTGCCTTCTCCTTTCCAGTTTTTCCAGACAGCAGCAATCAACGTGCGTGATAACGTTGGGGAGGAGGTGGACCCGGAGCAGCTCATCCAGGAGACCTGTCGGAGCTGCCTGGAGCAGGTGGGTGCTGGCGAGGGGTTCCTTGGGCACCTGATTGAGCAGAGCAGCCTAGCCAGGATGTGTCCCTCTTAACAGCTTTGCTGTCACTGTGAGGGGACATCCTCAGCCCTTGTGTGGCTGCTGTGCTGGGATTCATTCTCACTGGGAAGAAGGGAGTGGTCAGAGCTGGGCAGCTCGTGCTGCCACTTTTCACTGCTGCTGTCAGAACATGGCACACGGCTGGACCTCCCACAGAGACCAGCCCCCAGCACCCATCAGAGGGTCCTGGTGGTGTGGGGCAGGATGCTTTCCTTTCACATCTTGCTTTTCTGCCAGTTGACCATAGTTATGATGCTCAGATTGTGCTTTTGCATCTGGCCATCTGTAGAAGCATGGCCTGATAGCACTCCAAGAGCAGAGCTGGTGCAGGGCTTTCAGGCAGATACACGGAGATGGGGGTTGCTGGTGGGGCCCTCTCTGAGCCCAGAATCCCTGGAAACTTCTTTCTCTTCTTGCAGGCCAAACTGCTCTTCTCTGATGGCAAAAAGGTGGTTCCCAGGTTGCCCCATGAGCAGGCAGGGACAAAGGTAAACTTTGTGATTGTACCCAGAGGCTTAAATGATTTGTGAGAGCTGGGAGGAGGAGAAGGCTTGGAATCCCTTTTGTTCTCTACCTCTTGTCCCCAGCACTGTAGTGCAGAGGCAGAGTAGGGGTTGTTGGTCTGGGAGGGAATACAGGGCAAGGAGAACCTCAGGTGCTGCTGCTTATGGTGTGGTGCTGCTCACCAGCCTGGGCTGGGATCAGTGTTTAACTGCAAAGGAGAGAGGGTCAGCATTTACCTGGCCTTTGGGATGCAGGGGGCTCCACACAACCAGGAGGGGAGAAGGGCCCTGCTCATCCCGCTGCCCTTCCTCTTCCAGCGTGCCCGACAGATGGATGAGGAGCTGAGCCGTCGAGGGAGCCCCATTCCCAAAAAGGTAAGAGGGTTTTCTGCACAAGGGATTTTGTTTTGGCAAGTCTGGTCCTCCTTCCTGGCCATTCCCACCATATGAGTGCATGCAGGTGCACAGTCGGCTTTTGTGAGGCCTGAGAGGTGCTTGCTCTGGTGCCAGGGAGCATTTCTGCCCGTGACAAAAGGAGCAGCTTCCCTGGGATGGGGAGGGTCCCCAAGAGGGTTCCCTGAGCCAGCACAGCCAAGTCACAGAAGGGTTTCTTCCATGCAGAGAAAGGGGCGGCCTCCAGGACAGAGCCTGTCAAACGACCGCGGGGTCTCGGGCATGGCGGCGTGAGTACGGGTCCTGAGCTAGAGCCCCCGTTTGGGGAGGGCAGGGGGAACGAGGCTGCCCAAATGGGGGAGGCACAGAAACCCCACGATCTCCTTCCCTCCTGCAGAGAGGCAGTGGGAGTTCTGGGGGCAGGGAGGGGTCTTAGGTTGAGGTGTGTCCCTCCAGAAGGCAAAGACCTTCAAGGAAAAGGTTTTAAAGAGGCCCAAAAGGGTGAAAAGATCCAGATGGACCATTCAGAGTGAGCAGTGAGGCACGGGAGGGGTGGGATCTGGGCAGCTGGGAGAGGAGAATGTGCATCAAAGCTGAGGGTCCAGAGCTGGGCGCTGCGGGGGAATGAAAGATGTGAACAAGGGTGGATCTGGAAGGGCTGGGGCTCAATCCCTGCTGCTGGTGGTGACTGTGCTGGTTCTGCAGGGCCTCATTCTTACAGCATTTTCCTTCCCCTCAGGTGGAAGCTCAAAGTCTCTGAACCTGTGAGAAGGGATGGACCAAAGGTATTGGCTGGCCAACGCTGCTGGGCTCCCCCTCTCCTCCCCTTTGCTCCTGCCTGCGGCTGCAGGAGCACAGGACAACGCAGGCTGTGCTCTGCCCCGATGGGGCCCTGGGGCGGGGGGCAGGACGAGGAGCGAAGTGCCCGGAGGCCTTTGTTGGTCTCCCCAGGCACTGTAGCCTGTAGCTGTGCAGTGTGGTGCTGCTGAGGGAGACCTGGGGAGAGTAGGAGTAGCCAGGAGAATCCCACAAGCGTTTCCCACAAGGGAAACTGCTTAGATCAGCCCAGACAGAATGTAACATCCCTGCCCTGCAGAAGGCTGGAGGTCTGTGGCCAGCTCCTTCCCTCCCAGGCCGGGGGCAGCTCCGAGGTTCCCTGTCAGAGAGCCGAGGCTCACGGAGCGTGGCCGGCACCAGCTTAACTTCTAATGCTGCCCCTTTTCCAATTGCTCTGTAGTGGGATCCATCCCGACTGACTGAAACCACAACCTTTGTGCTGGGATCTCGAGCAAACAAGTAAGGAACGGCCCTGTCGATGGAGGGTGGTGTCCCCAGGCAGGAGCCCGTGACACTCCTCCCGTCACTTCGCTTCTCTGCCTCCAAAGCAGTAGGAAGGACTTGGGGAGGAGAGGGGTGTCCCCGTGCCACCACAGCCACCCTCCCTGCAGCCCTGACACCCCTCACGTTCCTCTTGCAGAGCTCTCGGGATGGGAGGAACAAGAGGGCGACTCTACATCAAGCATCCCCACCTCTTTAAGGTCAGATGCCACAGCCAGACGGTTTCCCATGGGAATCGGGGGCGCGTGCTTTGGCTCGTTTGTTCACTCCCTCGCCCTTGCCCTCGTTTGTTATCTCGGATCACATTCCCAAGGTCTTGGCTAGCACACGGAACATGAGCCGACATGGCAGGTTTTGCTGGAGCCAGGGCTGAGGCTGGAGCAGGGCAGGCGGTGCAGAGTCGAGCGCTCCCCCCGCGGGCAGCGCATGGGGGACACAGCGTCCTGCAGGAGGGGGGGCCTGAGCCGAGGGTCTGTCACCCCTGCTCAGCTCGGTCCTCACTGCTTTATTGCAGTACGCGGCCGACCCGCAGGATAAGCACTGGCTGGCAGAGCAGCAGCACATGAGGGCCACTGGGGGCAAGATGGTGAGTACGGCCGGGCACAGGGCCCGCCGCAGGGCCAGCACGGGCGGAGGAGCCGCAGCACAGGCAGCTGTGGCAGGAGGTTAGGCAGGGCATGGGGGCACAGCTACCCCCAGGGTCCGTCCCCTGCCCTGTGGGGTTTGGGTGCAGGCTTGAGGGGCAGAGCTGGATCCCACAGGGACAGTGCTGGCCAGGGATGAGGGGAGTGATCCTGCCTCAGCCGCCCCTCACAGGCGCCCTGAGGTGTCCCCCACCTTGTGCCACAGGCCTACCTCCTCATTGAAGAGGACATTCGGGATTTGGCTGCCAGTGAGGATTACAGGTGAGGACCAAAGCAGAGATGCTGCTGTGCCTGGGGCTCCTTCCCTGGGGGCCCCCACCGTGCCCCCCCTTCACTGCATGGGAGCCCTGTGCTGGAGGAATCCTGTTCCATGCCAGTTGGGGGGGCTTGGTGCCAAGTGTTGGGGGGCTTGGTGCTGGCTGGGTGTTCATGGTAGGTTTGGGCACGGTGCTAGTTGTGGTCCATAGCAGGTTTGGTGGGTCTGGGCTTGGTACTGGTTGGGGTCCATGGTGGGTTTGAGGTCCGCGGTGGGTGCCGGGGTCCCTCTGTCTCAGCCCCTTCCCTCCCAAGGGACTCGGTGGATCTGCGGCTGGAGGAACTGAAGCCCTTCATCCCGCCGGCCTGGATGACGGAGAAGATGCAGAAACACATGGAGACGCTTCGTCGCGGAGGGGACGCGCCGCCCCCCGAGGACCCCCCCGAACCCTGAGGCCTCGCCCCCAAAGGGCCCGCCCCCACCCCACCCCCCCGTCCCCCAATAAAACCGCTTCACAGCCACCTCGCCGCCTCCTGGGCACCGGGGAGGGGCGTCTGGCCCTTTAAGGGCGTCAGGGACTCGTAGTCCCGCCCCTCGCTGGGCAGCGGCCAATCACAGCGCGGTGCGTCGGAGCCCGACGACCAATCAGCGGCCGCTGACCGTTACCGTGGGAGCCGCATCCCCGGCGGGCGGTGATTGGGCGGCTCGAACGGGGCTGCGCGCTGATTGGCGGAGGGGCCGCACGGGGACACATTCAAACGGGGCGCGGGAGCGGGCAGGGCCGCGCGGGACGATCGTGGGGGGGAGCGACTGGGACCGCGACCGAGCCGCTGCTGCACCGGAGTGTCCGGGATCGGGCTGCCACCGCAACCGGAGAGTATCCTGCGCCGCCCTAAGGGAGCCCTAAGCACCGTCGCTCCGCACCGGGGAGTTCCGCCAGGAGAGCCCGCACCACCGCGCGGCACCGGGAGAGCCCCCGCCGCACCGGGAGAGCCGCAGCGGGGCCCGAGTTCTGCCCCGAGCGCAGGAAGGAGGAAGCGGGCAGAGCCTGGTGCGGCGCCGCCCAGGAGGGGGAGCCGCGTCCAGCCCGTGACCCACCGACGGCGGAGGCGGGTGCGCCGGTCGGTGCCCCCGGAGCCGCCATGGCCTCGCAGAACGCCGACCCCGCCGCCGTGTCCAGCGCAGCCGCTCGCAAAGCGGCCGAAACGGGGGCCACGCCGGCCCGTGGTGCGGTGGGGAAGAGGTGAGCGGGGACGGGAACCGGGGGCTGCGGCCGGGGGCTGCCCCGCCGGGCCGGCCGGTAACGTGCTCTTCCCCCTCCGCAGGCTGCAGCAGGAGCTGATGGCGCTGATGGTGAGTGGGGTCGCGGAGGGTCCTGGGGCCGAGTCGGAGTTTGGGGATCCCGAGGCGGGAGAGTCTCGGGCTGTCCTGGCCGCCCTGACGTACTGCCCCGCAGATGTCCGGTGACAAAGGCATTTCCGCCTTCCCCGAGTCCGACAACTTGTTCAAGTGGATTGGGACTATTGACGGCGCCGCCGGCACGGTGAGAGGCGGGATCCAGGGCTGTGGGGGCCCGGACCCCGCTCCACCCTCCTCCCTTCAGCTGAGTGGTCGCAGTCCTCTGCTCCCCCTGTGCCCCTTTTTCCCCCGAGTTTTCCCCCCCACCCCTCTGACTCCAGCCCCCGTGACTCCCACCCGCAGCCCTACGAGGAGCTGCGGTACAAGCTGTCGCTGGAGTTCCCCAGCGGGTACCCCTACACGGCGCCCACCGTGCGGTTCCTGACCCCCTGCTACCACCCCAACGTTGACACCCAGGGCAACATCTGCCTCGACATCCTCAAGGAAAAGTGGTCGGCACTCTACGACGTCCGCACCATCCTGCTCTCCGTCCAGAGCCTGCTGGCAGGTGGGTCCTACAACTGCACTTGCCATGGGGTACTGGGGGAGGGTGTGATGGTGGGGTTGGGGATCCCCCGCTCAGAGCAGGGCTCTGAGGTGTCCAAGTCACCCCATCAGCTAACCCAGCCCCTGTTTCCAGAGCCGAACATCGAGAGCCCCCTGAACACACACGCGGCCGAGCTCTGGAAGAACCAAGTCGGTGAGTGCCTGGGGCAGAACCTCCCTGCCCGCTCCCCACTGGGGTGGGCAGCAGCACAGCCCCCAACCCTCCTGTGTCCCACTGCCTGTCCAGCCCTGGCAGCTGCCTCAGGACCCTCATCACCATGTCCCCCCTCTCTCCTCAGCCTACAAGAAGTACGTGAGGGAGACATACAACAAGCAGGCCAAGGGCCAGGAGACCTGACCATCACCACCGCCCCCCACCATATCCTCCCCTGCCCGGTGCCCCCCACATTCTGTATCATAGGCTGTTTTTAAATTAATGTCGCAGTCCGAGCCACGGTTAATGTATAAATAAATGCACATTTATGACTTCTGCAGGGGGTTCTGCAAGTGTGGGCAGGGAGGGATACTGACCCCCATCAGGGGCTCTATCAACGTTTAGGGGGCCTGGAGTGGTCCCATTCCCTCTGCAGGGTGGGGGCAGCCTCCAGCAATGCCTGCATGTGCAGGGGGCTGGGGACTGTGGGGGTACATGGGGGCTCCCATACCCTGCTCTGTGACAGGGGGTGCCAGCTTTGCTGCCTCCTGGCCTCCCCTTCAGAGCACCCCACAGCAGTGGCCAGTGCAGGGCCCTGCCCAAGCCCCCCTGGCTGCAGTGCCATCTATCCCCAGTGGCTGTGTGGTCTCCGTGGCTTCCACTGTCCATGGCGGAATGTTGGCTCCACTCTCCATCTCTGACAATGTGGCCCTCACCTGCTCGATCTCTTCCTCTAAGCCCTGGGCAGCTGGGGACTGCATGGAAACCACCCCTCGCCGGCCAGGCAGCCCCCAGCCCCCCAGCCCAGTGCGCAGTGGGGCCACGCCACCCTCTTGCATGGAGAAGAGCTGGCAGAGGTAGTGGGCTCTGCGTAGATCCTGCAGGAAGAGCTCCAGAGCGGAGAGGAAGAGCACCCACAGCCGCTCCAGCTCCCGCCGCTCCGGGAGGCTCGCTGGTGCCTGCCTCACCCCTGCCAGCAGCACCCGCCGCAGCCCTGTGGGACATGGGATGCTAAGCCACAGTGGCCCTGGAGCCCCTCTGTGGCCCTGGTGTGGGTCCAGGGGGGCTCTGTGCCTGCTGCCCATTGCAGCAGCCCCCTCCTTACCGGTGCTGAGCTCACGGGCCTCCGCGCTCCTCCTGCGCCGCTCCTCGCGCAGCCGAGGGCTGTCACCGCTGCCCCCAAGCTGCAGCACCAGCTGCCGGTGTCCAGCTGTGGCCTTGCAGAGGGCAGCCTGTGCTGCTGCACATGTCCCCACTGCCCCCCGCCCGCGGCACCCGTCCCTTCTGCCTGGTGCCATTGCTCCCCGTGAGAACAGGGCAGGGTCAGGATTCCCGGGGTGGCCCTCCTGGGGTCTCAGTTTCCCTGTGCCACAGTGCTGGGCAGAAGGGACGTGACTGGCTTTGAGTTGTGTCCTGCCAGCTGCACTGTGCTGGTCCCACGGTCCCACCCACACCAGCTGAGGACTGTGTTCCCTTCATCCCACCCCTGCTGTGCTCCACCCTGGTTGGTCCCCAGGGAGCTGTGGTGTCCAGCAGGCTGCCACAGCCTGTCCAGACACAGAGACTCCACTGTCATCTTGACCTCACAGGGAGGGGGCTGCTGCCCCACCACCTTATAGGCCAGTCCTCTGGGTGGGAGATGTGGGTCCCAGTGGGGCAGGTGGTGGTGGCTCCCTAGAACCCCTGTGGTCCCACAGCCCTGCCCTGGAGCAGGACCCTTGGGGCCGGGGCTGTGCTCCCTCACCCGCTGGCGTGTGAACCAGCTGCTCCAAACGGAAACTCTGAGCTCAGCGCTGGCACCTGCCCAAAAGCCCGTGGGAACCTCAGCCCTGTGCTGCCCCTGCAGCACAGGGCTGCAATGTGAACTTGCCTGGCACAGGGCACCCGCCAGGCATGTTCCCCTCCCTGGGGAGCAGGGCAGGGGCACAGTGCCACAGCCCCCTCCCCGTGCACCCCCAGTGAAGTCCTGCACAAGCAATTCAAGCCTTTCCTCTTTTATTGAGGCTCAAACCAAAGCCACAGGTGACAGATGGGAGGAAAAGCTCAGCCGCCGGCAGTGGGATGAGACCGAGGCCCTGGCACAGAGCAGGGTCTCAGCCAATGCTGGGGGCCAGGTGCTGCAGAGCTGCTGCTCCCTGGGCAGTGGGGAGCAGGGCTGGGTGCAGCAGCTGGCCCAAGGAATGTCTGGTCCCTTACTGCACACCCTCCATCATCTTCAGGAACTCTGCAAGAGAGGGGCAGCCTGAGCTCACGGCCCTGCCCTGGTGCACAGCACAGGCACCCGGCCAGGGCTGCTGCTCACCATCAAAGTCGATGCGGCCATCATTGTTCTTGTCTGAGTCCTTCATCATGTCCTCTATGTCCTCGTCGGTGACAGGCTCCCCGGTGGCCCTCAGGATCTCACCCAGCTCCTCAATGTCGATGAACCCATCAGCATTCCTGAAGGAGGGTGAGGGTGGGATGTGACCTTGCTCACCCCTGCAGGCAGGACAGGCCACTTCACCCCCACCACTCACCGGTCGAAGATGCGGAAGCAGTTGGCTAACTCCTCCTCAGATTTGCCCTTGGCATCCTCTTTCATCTGGCGCACCATCATCACCAAGAACTCCTCAAAGTCGATGGTACCGCTGCCTGCGGGGAGGAAGCTGAGCACAGGTCAGGCTGCCCACCCAGTGCCCAGTGCTCACCCCTGTCACCCGCCACCAAGGGCTGCTCACCATCCTCGTCCACCTCTTCAATGATGGCGTCCAACTCTTCTTTGGTGGGGTTCTGGCCCAGCATCCTCATCACTGTCCCCAACTCCTTGGTGCTGATATCTCCACCGCCATCAGCATCAAACATGTCGAAGGCGGCTTTGAACTCTGTGGAGAGGGAAGTCAGGGCCAGACAGTGGGGCAGAGCTGGGCCCCAAGCCATGGCCATGTCTGGCCCCTCTCCCCACTGCCCCTGCACTCACCCGCAATCATCTCCTCGCTGAGGTAGGCGCGGGCTTCTGCCTGCTGGTCCGTCTGCAAGACAAAGGAGAAGGGCTCATCATGGCCACCCACATCAGGCCAGAGACTCCTTGCACAGTGCGGCCCGACAGCACAGGGCTGTGGGGAGAGCCTTTGCCCTGCTGCAGAGCGATGCTGTGCTGGGGCAAGCCACAGCCCTCAGCAATCCCTACAGTTACAGTGCCTCCTGGGCATCCATGAGCATGGGGGGCTGCAGGGAGCCGCCTACCCAGGCCCCCCACCATGTGGGGGGCTCCATGGTGCAGGGGCCATGGAGCAGCCTTGGCATCCTAGGCATGCAACGCTATTTTTGGAATCTCCTCAGCTCCCCTTGTAGGGATCATTGGAGCTGGAGCCGTGGCACCTGTCGGCCCCGATCGAGTTTCTGCTGGAGGCGCAGGCTGGCCGTGGAGCCGGTGGTGACACCGTGTCGTATGACCCAGTGCTCGGCTTTCAGCCACCCCCTGCCACTGCCACCTCTGCACGGCCCCGAGCTCCGGACAAGGCTGAGTCCCCAGGAACATGGTGCCCCCCAGGCATGTCCTGGGGGGACCTTGCACCTCCCCAACGCCTTCCTGCCCTCATTGCCACGGTCAGCCCAGCCCTGGAGACTCTCTCCCCGCTGCCCTCCGCGGAGGCACCTCTGCAGCCCAGATCCCCTGGAGCATGCAGTGCCTGGTGCCTCCTGCCCAATCAGGTCTCATCCTGGCATGCAGCACAAGGCACACAACACACAGGGGCTCTTACCATTTTGGGAATTTACTGTGCTTCCCAGCCCCAGAGAATCACCAGCTCCTGCAGCAGGAACTCCCAGAAGCACCGTGGTACCCCTGGCACCCCAATTTGTAGCGTCTGCTCTGTGGGCTGTGCCCCCAGCTGCTGCCCCTCAGCCCCCACAGCCTATCAGCACCCTGGCAGCACCCGGCCCCGCTCACTGGCAACTGGCGCCTTTACCTAATTTAGCCAAAGCTTTATTGGCCAAGGGCTGGGATTAACGTAGGGCTGAGGCTGGGATGGAAATTCAAGCCCTCCAGGAGGGACACTGGAGCTGTGGCAGGAGGGAGGCTCTGCCCACCCCCATAGCACCTCCCGACCAGGGAAACTCAGCAACGAGGGGGTTAAAAATAGCCCTGGATCTGTCAGCATCACCCAGGCAAGGGGGTCAGGGTCCCCCCTGCACCCGGGGGGCACAGAACATTGCCCACTGTCCCCCAGACCTGCAGTCCTGCCTGGGACAGGCTCTCAGCATGAACCTGGGCTTCCCTGGAGCAGAGTCCTTTCCCTGCACCCCCGTTTTCTGCTCTGGGGGCCCAAGGTAGAGCTATGCTGCAGCCCCCTGCCCCTGGTGAGAAAAGGGTCCCCAGTGGGACCTGGGGCACAAAGTCCCTGGAGGGTTTTGGAAAATAAGCCCTGCAGTTTAGAGTCCCCAGCACCATTGGCACCTGGGTCCGGAAAAGGCTCTGTCTTTCCGTGCTTCAGGGGAGTGGGAATTATGCCCGGTGCCTCTTGGAAGGTTCAGCCCTCACACCTGCAGTCCGTGCCAGCCACTGCTGCCAGGGGCTGGTGGCTCTGGGAATGCACTGGCCAAGTGGCCCGTGCCCTGCGGTGCTCTGGGCCTCAGGGATGCAGTGGGGTCAGGTTGATGGATCCCTGTCCCGTAAGCTCCCAGTGACAGGGACACACAGGGGTTCTCTGGCTCGTGGTTTTGCCAGGACCCTCATTTCCCAGGTGAGACCTGGGGACTGCACAAGCCCAGCCCTTCATGCACTGCACCCTGCCCAGGGGAGGGCAGGGGTCTCGTCTGACCGGTGGGGTGCAGGGTGCTGGAGCAGCATGCAACGGGCAAGCAGGGCAGAGTGATGGCAGCAGCTGGGCTGCTTCCTCGATATTAATAGACATTCCCAAGGAAGTGGTGAGGAGTGAGCGGGTAGGCACTAAAAAAGGCCAGGCGAGTGCCGAGGGTGAAGCCTGGTCACAGGGCGTGTGGCGAGGCTACCTGGGGCCAGGGCAGCGGGTGCCAGGGTGGCCAGGGGGACGTCCCTCTGGGCTGCAGCCCAGTGAAATCGGGAGCCTGCATCTGGGGTACCAGGATACACGGGTGTCGGGGTACCAGGATGTCAGGATACTGGGGTGCCAGGCTATTGGGGTACCAGGGTATGAGGTATCAAGACCCTGGGGGCCCACAGTGCTGGGCACCTCAGTGCGGGCTCCTGTGGCCCCAGGGTGGGTACCAGGGGCTCGGTCCGACCAGGACATCTCGGACAGGGGACAGCGGCAGCAGCCGGTGCGGCAGCGGGCAGGGGCTGTGGGCAGCGCCGGGCTGAGCCCTGACTCTGACCCGATCGTGCCGGGAGATGCCGGAGTGGCCTATCCCGATCCCGATCGTGCCGAACGGTGCCGGGAGGAGCCGACTCCGATCCCGATCCCGCCGGGCGGTGCCGCAGGGACCGATCCCGATCCTGGCCGTGCCGGGCGGTGCCGGCTCCGCCGCCCCGATCCGGGTTCCCGGCGGAGGCGGAGCCGCGCAGGGAGGATCCCGGGACGAGCCGTGGCGGAGCGGCCATCGCTCGGCACCGCCTGGCTCGGCCCGGTCCGGCCCGGGGCAGCGCGAGCGGAGCGGTGCGGGGGCAGCAGCGGGGGGTGCCCCGGGGCCGGGCTGTCCCCGCGCGGGGCCGTGCCGCGGTGGGCAGCCCCCGGTCCCCCCGTGTCGGGGAGCCGGCCCGGACCCCCGGGCAGCGATGGCCGCTCGCATCCTGCACCGGCTGCGGCACGCGCTGGCCGGAGAGGGCGGCCGGGAGGAGCCGGCGGGAGGCGGCGGCGAGACTGAGGACTGCCCGGAGAGCTCGGAGCTGGAGGACGACACCGAGGGGCTGTCGACGCGCCTCAGCGGCACCCTGAGCTTCACCAGCCACGAGGACGAGGAGGAGGACGAGGAGGAGGAGGAGGAGGAGGACGGAGCTAGCGAGGAGCTGGAGGAGCCGCCGCAGGCGCAGGGAGCGGCAGCAGGCACAGAGGACGGAGGCAAGTGCTGGGGCGGTGAGCTGGGGGGACTGGGGTGACCCCGCTCCCCAGGGCAGCAGCACCCCGGGGGGACCCGTGCGATGGTGGGGTCCGGCAGTCCGGAGGTGTCGGGGGGCTGGCAGAGCCCTGTCCCCACGCTGGGCAATGACACCCCTCTCCCGGCACAGAGTGGGGCCCCGCGGCGGAGCGCCCCGGCGGCAGCCTGCTGACCCGGCAGCTGCAGGAGCTGTGGCGGAGGTCGCGGGGCAGCCTGGTACCGCAGCGGCTGCTCTTCGAGGTCACCAGCGCCAGCGTGGTCAGCGAGCGCTCCTCCAAGTACGTGGTGAGTGAGCCCGGCATGGCTGGGCAGGCACTGGCTGGGTGTGGGTTTGGCTCTCCTCCGGGCCAGGGGTCCCATGGGGCTGGTGCTTATTTCTCTCTCTTTCCCCTTGCTGCTTGGATGGTGTTGGTGGCTCAGATGAGCCTCAGGTAACTATCTCTGGTGGGTGCTGTGGCTGTGGCAGCCCAGCCCACTCCCTCCTGCCCGGGCAACCCCCCCCGGCCCTTCTGTGGCCGCACACCCAGCTCTGCCAGCTCCCCCAGGAGCAGCGTGCCCGTGGCACTGCCTGACACCTGGCTCCCCCACAGCTCTACACCATCTACCTGATCCGCACCGGCCAGTTTGACAAGGCTCCTGCCACCATCGCCCGGCGCTACTCAGACTTCGAGCAGCTGAACCGCCGCCTGCGCTGCCGCTTCGGCTGTGACATGGCCGGCGTTGCCTTCCCCAGGAAGAGGCTGCGCCGGAACTTCACCGCTGAGACCATTGCCAAGCGGAGCCGAGCCTTCGAGCAGTTCCTGTCCCATTTGCACTCCATTGACGAGATCCGCCGCTCCCCGGAGTTCCTCGAGTTCTTCTTCCTGCCGGACCTGCGGGCCGCACAGCGCCTCACCTGCACCGGCATGTACCGCGAGGCCCTGGCCACCTGGGCCAATGCCTACCGGCTGCAGGACCGGCTGGGGGTCTGCAGCTCCGGCCGCTTCCTCCTGACGTTGGCCGGGCTGGCCGTGTGCCACCAGGAGCTGGACCAGCTCGGCGAGGCCCACAGCTGCTGTGAGCAGGCACTGCAGCTGCTGGAGGCCCAGGGCAGCCACCCGCTGCTGGGGCCCTTCCTGCAGGCCCACATCCACCTGGCCTGGAAGGTGGGCAAGGACAAGCGGCGCTCGGAGGCCCGGCTGCAGGACCTGCGGGAGGCTGGGCTGCCCCTGCAGCAGCAGCCCTCCCTGAAGGAGTGCCTGATCAAGGAGCCTCTGGAGTGAAGCAGCCTGTGCCTCCATGGGCAGGAGGGCAGGGGCTGCAGGGGACTCGCAGCCATGGTGGCGGGGAGCAGGGCGCTGCCGTGAATGGGGATGTGGCAGGGGGGCAGTGCCACACTCCCATGGCAGCATGGCCCGTGCCTGGAGCTGCCTCCTAAATGCACTTTCTCTGTGGTTAGTCTGTCCGGTGGGACTGGGGGCTCACAGGGGTTCACGGAGGTCCACCACCCACAGTGACATTGCTGGAGCCACTCCCCCTCTGTGGGGGATCCTGGAGTGGCTGGGACTTTAGCTGGGACATACTGGCACCGCACAAGGGAACGGGAAGGCTTCTGGCAGGGTTTGGGGCTCTTGCCGGGAACTTCCCATAAAACTTATATAATAAAAAGGACTTTATTAAATAAAGTCTTGGCAGGAAGAAGACCAAAGTGCTTGCTGTGTCTGTTCCACCCCATGCCCCCAGGGCATCATCAGTGGGAGGCCTCAAGCCTCCACATGGAGGTGGGAGCTGCCTCATCCCATTTCCCTGGCTCCCAGCTGGCCCCAGGCCTGAGCCCAGCCCTGGGGAGGAGCCCAAGGGCAAGCAGAAGCAGCAACTGAGGCACCAGGGCACAGGAGCAGGGCAGGAGAAGCGAGAAAGGGAAGCAACGTGTGCCACAGCAGCACACGTGGCACAGGTTCCCCTCCTGTGACTCAGCTTGCGGTAGGGGCAGAGCTGGTCCCCCATTACCCCACTGCTGCCTGCCCTTGGGCAAGCACAGTCACAGATCCAAGGGGACAAACTCTAGGGACAGAGTCCAGCTCTTCACCCAACAGCTTTATTTTAAGGTGGCTGATGGCAGCATGTGGTTACACACTGTGCAGCAGCCAGTTGGTCACACTGATGCTCTGTGGGTCACCGTCTGTCGCAGACACCTCTGGCACTTGGACTCCACACTGGGCTGGATCCAGCCCAGTCTCCTTCCTGCTGCTGTCCAGATCCTGTCTTGATTCCAGGGTCCTTCGCTTGGTATGCTTGAGCCCCAGCTTGTGGGGGCTCCTCAGCTAGAGCTTGCTCTGGTTTGGTCTCTGTTCCACCCTGATGACTCCTTCTTGCGCACAGGTGACAGCCAGGACCCCGTCCCTGCGCCACAGCCGTCCCTGCACCAGGCCCCGGCACCCGCCTGCACAGAGGAGCTGTCAGAGTGCAGCCACCACCCCCAGGATGGGTAGGGTAGGAGAAGTGAGAAGGGGAAGCAACGTGTGCCAGAGTAGCGCCTTCCCCTCCCGCATCCCAGCCTGCTGCAGGGACTGGCTGGCCTTGGCCTTGTGGTTCCCCAGGGGACACAGCAAGGACTCACCAGCCCAGGGGCTCTCGCACTCATAGAGCATCCAGTGGTCAGCTCGGAAGGGCGCGTGGAACCACATGGAATGGTCGAGGGACACCATGAACTTGATGTGGTACTGCCGGTGCGGGAGCAGGGCCGTGCCCAGGAAAGCGTAGTCGGAGATGTAGGCGGCCACACAGCAGTGCACCTTCATGTCCGTCTCCCCTGCAGAGCAACCAGCACTGCCCGTCCGTGGGTGCCCATGGGACACATCTGGGGCACAGAGCTCCACTGCCCCAGGGACAGCTGCAGGCCAAGCACAGCTGAGATTCTTCCAGACCAGCTCCCCTTGCCCCCTAGCACAGTTCAGGGCATCACCTCACGCTCCTCACCCACACCTGCATTGCAGCCTTGAAATGCCCAGGCTTCCCCCCAGGCTGGGGCGCAGGCAGCACCCAAATCACAGCCCTCCCAGCCCATTCTGTCGTGACAGTGCTCCATAGTGTGAGGTGGAGTCTGAGCCCTCGGCCCAGGAGGCACTTGGACCTTCCCAGAGGGACCCACCTATGTAGCCTCGTGCTCGCACCCAGAAGAGCTGCTTTGGCTCCTGTGGCTCTGAGCTGAATATATCTGGTGGGTTCACGGGTTTAATATCAATCGGCACATCTTCGGCTTGGATCTTGTTGAGATGTCTCCTGTATCTCTCAGCCAGGTTAGGATTCCTGCAGCCCAGCATGGAGAAACGAGGCTAATGCCAGGCAGGCAGAGGCATGTCCTGCTAGCAGCAGCTCCAGCCCACAGACCCAGGGGCACATAGAGAGAGGAGGGGCACGGCTCCTGTCCTGTCCTGCCCCTCTGCTCCCCTCCCAGGCATGTTTGGAAACTCCTCAGGCAGCCACCACAATCCTCCTCCACACCTCCCTCTGTACCAGCCGCAAAGAAGGGCGTCCCCAATATGCCCCTTCCTCCCCACTTACTGCAGGAACTTCTGGATGAGCTCCTCCTGTGTCAGCAGCTCCTCGGGGAGTGGCACGGTGGGCATGGTGAACTGGTGCTGCACTGGGCTCCCCTGGGAGAGCTGGAAGGAGGCCTGGCAGGTGAAGATCGGCTTTCCGTGCTGGATGGCCTTCACGGAGCGAACGGAGAAGCTCTTCCCCGTACGAGTCCTCTCCACCTCGTACAGCACCGGCACCTTGGGGTCCCCTGGGACAGCACAGCGACATTCTGCCGCCGGGCCACGGAAGGGACCTGCCCTGCAGGGGCCGAGCCCGGCGGTGCCACCCGCACCCTCCCTGCCGGGATGGGGCCGGGATGGGGCGCCTGCTCACCCTGCGGGCTCCCCCAGCCTCCGGACCACCGCCCGGCCCCGGCGCCCCCCGAGCCGCGGATCCGCACCTGCCCGCACGAAGTAGCAGTGCAGCGAGTGCACCTGCTCGTCGCGGCTCACGGCGCGGGCGGCCGCCACCAGCGCCTGCCCCACGATCTGCCCGCCGAAGAGGCGCTGCGTGGCGGGCACCCAGTGGTGCCGGCCCCTGCGGGGAGAAGGCGGCGGTGAGCGGCGGCGGCAGCGTGTGGAGAGGCCGCCCCGGTCCCGCCGGCCCGGCGCCCCCGCGCAGCGCACCTGAAGAGGTCGACCTCCAGCCGCTCCAAGTTCAGCACGCTGGTGATCAGCACGCTGCGCAGGTCCCCGGGAGGCGGCGGCGGCCGCCCCGACCCCGCGCCGGCCCCGCCGGTGCCGCCCGGAGCCTCCATCGCCCCCGAGACCGGCGGCCCCGACGGCGGCAACTTCCGCCCGCCCACGCGGCGCGCACCGCCAGATGATTGGATGGCAGAGCTGTCAGTCAGAGGGCGAGGCAGGATGCTCTGTGCTGGTTGGCTCGCCTCCTGTCAATCCGGAGAGAACGGCGCTGAATGGCCACGATCAGGGCGTGGGCGGTGCCCCAGGGTTTAACGGCGGCGGATGGTCGGGGCGGGGCCGATCCCGGGAACGCGGGGGGACCGAGGGGGTCCCGCTGCGGAATTGGGCGCCCGGTTCCGCTGCTTCCGAGACTTCAGGGAGCGCTTCCGCGCCTACAAGCTGGAGGATGTGCACTGGGTGAGCCAGGACTGCCACCGCCGCTACCAACTGCCCTGCCGGCGCATCCTGGCCGTGCTGCCGGAGCATGGGGGGCGCGTGGAGGGAGCTGTGCTGTGCAGGCGCTGGCAGCGGCGGTACCGGCACCCCTCATCCCCCTGGAGGCAGCTCCCTGGGGCGTGCTGGGGGCTCGGCGGGCAGCGGGCCCGAGAGCAGGGAGGAGAGAGTCCATCGCTCAGCCTCGAGCTGACCAGCCTGCTGCTGCACAGCAACGGGGAGCAGCTGAAGGAGCGCAGCTCCGCGCTGGCGGCAACCTGGGCTCGGCCACCGGGGGAGGCAGCCGGGCAGGAACCGGTGCCGGAGGGCCGGACACACCGAGGAGCGGTGCGCTCCCGCTGCGATGCGCGGCGGCCGCTCCGGGCGGCGCCCGAGCGCTCCTGTCCCGCCGCGGCGGGCGGGGTCGGGTCCTACCGCGGTGATGACGCTCCGCGCGGTGACTGGCGGAGTGGGACACGGACCGGAGCGCGCTGCAATGTCCCTGCCGGTAGCGGCGGCCCCGGCGGGACCCGCACTGCCGGCCCAAGTCGCGCTGGTGATGGCGCAGCCCCCACCCTGTTCCACCTCTGCAAGCGGCTGCAGCAGCTGGGCTTGGAGCACCACACCGAGCACTTGGCCTTGACGGCCACCAGGAAAGCCGTAGGTGCGGGCATCGAGGGAGCTGTTCGCCTTCCTGAGGGACCTCGTCACGCCGGACTTGCTGCCTCAGCTCCACCTTCACTCGGTGATGGGATCTGGGTTGCGCACAGGGAGGGCAGCTGAGGGGAGAGCAGTGGCTGCTTCATGCAGCTGGAGGTTGTCATCCCGGGGTTAAGCCAGGTTTTCAGTAGTGGGTTCTCTCTGGAGAGATGCATCACCACCTTGGCCCAGCACTATGAAGAGTGTGTTTCTAAGAGCCCTCCTGATGCTGTGACGTGCCCTGCTCCCCATCCTGATCTCTGTGCTGCTCAGGCAGCTCCCCAAAGCTTGCCTCTTGCCCCTCTGGTGTGCCAGGGTGACACATCCCAGAGCTCCAGCCAGGCTTCCCCTGCTGTGGCAGAAGCTCAGCAGCAGCTCTTGTCAGCCTCTCTTGCAGCTGTCAGGAGTCCTGTGATTATTCTCCAGAGTCTACCAGCAGTTCCCCAGCTCCTTGAGGCTCTTCAGTGTCAGCCTGAAACATCCCAGTTTCTCCTCCAGGGTGAACCCACAACCCCTCAGTCCCTGTTATATCCTTTGTCTCCTACAGTAAAACTGGGGGCCACAGAAACCCCAGCAGGGAGGAGATTAACCAAAGGACTGAAGAAGGCATCAAACAGTCTTTGAGTGACATTTGCACAGAGCCTGCTGCCAGTCTGTGCCTAAGTGAGCTGGCTGTGGTTCAGAAGTCCACCCAGCTCATTGGCACCAGGAAGGACACACTGACTGTACGGATCCTGGAGGATGCCCACAGGGTGGACCTGAAAGGCCTGAGCAGTGCACTTGCCACTTCAGCCAGGCCTTCCAGCTGCCCTGCTGGCACATCTTGGCTGTGCTGGATTCAAACAGGAGGCCCTCGCAGCCAGAGATGCTCAGTAGACCGTGGGAGAGGGGATGCAATGCCCATCAGGCCGGGCAAGACAGTGCTGATGGCCTCTTGGAGGTCCTGAAGAGCTTCTGGAACAAATCTTTGTATAAATCCCAGGTGATGTCCTTCCTTATGGCGGAGATCAGAGGTGAAGCTCTAGCACTGAGCAGTGTCTGAGCTGGGTGCTCCCGCCGTGTCCTGGCTTTCACCTTCATTCCCCTCAGGCTGCCACTTCCTTGGCATGGAAGGGACAGTTTAGGTCCTTGATCTGCTGAATGGGCATCACCTCTTTCACAGGGCAGCAGAGGAACTGGATTGGGAGCTCCTGATCCCATGGGAAGGGTAACAGCCACTGACCTGGCTAACAGCTGTGGCTGGGAGCCAGCTGTGGGTGGTGTGGCGTGGGAGGTACTGGTATAATAGAATCATAGAATATGCTGAGTTGGAAGGGACCCATCAGGATCATTGAGTCCAACTCCCGGCCCTGCACAGGACACCCCAAGAGTCACACCATGTGCCTGACACCATTGTCCAAATGCTTCTTGAACTCAGACAGGCTTGGTTCTGTGACCACTTCCCTGGGGAGCCTATTCCAATGCTCAACAACCCTCTGGGTGAAAAGCCTTTTGCTAAAATCCAACCTAAACCTCCCTTTACTCAGCTCCATGTTGTTTCATTGAGTCCTGTCACTGGTCATGAGAGTGAAGAGGTCGGTACTTGCCCCTCTGCTTCCCTTCATGAGAATGTTGAAGACCACAATGAGGTCTCCCCTCAATCCCCACTTCTCCAGGCTGAAAAAACCAAGTTCCTTCAACCACTTCTCATAAGGCTTCCTCTCCAGACCCTTCACCATCCTTGTGGCCCTCCTTTGGATGCTCTCTAATAGCTTAGTGTCTTTTTTATATTGTGGTGCCCAAAACTGCAGACAGGATTCGAGGTGAGGCTGCACCAGTGAATATTAGAGCAAGACAAGTAGAGCAGGACGGTCACCTCCTTTGAGTAGCTGGCAATGCTTTGCCTTAGGCACCCCAGGACACAGTTGGCCCTCCTGTGTGCCAGGGCACTGTTGACTCATATTCAAATTGACATCAACCAGGACCCCCAGGTCCTTTCCCAGAGCGCTGCTCTCCAGCCTCTTGTTTCCCAGTCTATACACACAACCAGGGTTGCCCCATCCCACGTGCAGAATCGGGCACTTGCCCTTGTTAAACTTCATATAGTTGGTGATTGCCCATCTCTGATTTGTCGAGGTCTCTCTGCAGGGCTTCTCTGCCCTGGAGGGAGTCAACAGCTCCTCCCAATTTGCTGTCATTGGCAAATTTACTTAGTATTCCTTCCAATCCTGTGTCCAGGGCATTAATGATGTTGAAGAGAACTGGGCCAAGGATGGAGCCCTGCAGAACCCCACTAGTGACCAGATACCAACCTGATGTCAATCACTACAAGTGTTTATACCTGACCTGTGAACAAGTTGCTCACCCATCACATAATACAGTTATCCAGCTGTGGGCTGGACATCTTGTCCAGAAGAATCCTGTGAGAGACAGTATCAAAAGCTTTGCTGATGTCCAAAAAGACTACGTCTGCTGGCTTTCCTAGGTGAACTAGGTGAATTACCCTGTTGTTGAAGGGAATCAGGTTCAACAAGCAGGACTTCCCCCTCCTGAAGTCATGTTGGCTGTGACCAATGTCAAAAACACCTTGTGCTCCAGGTGTTTTTTGATACTTCCCAGAATAATCTTTTCTATGATTTTACCAGGTACTGAAGTGAGGCTGACAAGCCTGTAGTTTCTGGGGTCCTCCTTCTTGCCCTTCTTAAAAATCGGGACAACGTTCACCAGCTTCCAGTCAGCTGAGACCTCTCCAGATTTCCAGGACTGCTCAAAAATCATCGAGAGAGGCTTTGCAATGACATCAGCTAGTTCTTTGAGGATTCTCAGATGAATCCCATCAGGCCCCATAATAACATGTGACAAAATTATTTCATCTGTGGCCAGCACCCACAGGTCCTTGCACCATCCAGCTGTGGGGTGTTGTGCAACAAAGCCAATAAATCAGCCTTGTGCTGTTTGGGAGCTGTGTCTGTCCCTGTGCCAGCTGCAGATGCCCCTCCCTGGCCAGGGGATGGGGTGCCAGGCATCAGGCAGTGCTGCTTGGTGGTCGTGTGCCACCGCAGTGCCCTGGGTGGTGGGAAGTGGCAGTTCCTGAGGGTGGCAATCCCACTGCGCTGCAGCCCCACTTTGGAGAAGGGGAGTGGTTTATCTGGTTTCAGCAGCTGCTCTCAATTCCTCAAGAAAGAGGAACCCACCCCCGTGTGCAGGGGTCACTGCCGGGCAGATAACGCCGGGGGAGGTGGGGAGCAAAGGCTACACGGCTGGGGGAGGGAAAACAGCCCAGAGAGCAAATGCCTGGCCCATGGCTGCTGCTCTGGGGTGGGTGAGCTCCCTGGCCCTCTTGCAGTCAGGGCAGCTCCAGCAGCTTCCAGCTTGTTGGTGGGACATGGCAGGGAATGTCAGAGACCTCGCTCCCAGTTGCATGGTTTGGTCACGATCCATGTTTTCCCTGATCAGCGCTCCCTTCATTAACACTTTGGTGTTGATGGAGTCGGCCGTCACTGCGGGCTGGGGATTTCCTTTGAGACAGAGTTTTGTAACATGATCTGATATTATCGAGTCTCTGACTAAATATAGCATCGTGTTTCCTAAAACACCTTTCTGTAAGCTTAGAGCTGCTTGTTTCTCCCCTTGGCCATGCTGTGGAAGAGGCCTGGAAGGCTCTGCCAGCCCCCTCGCCGTCTCTCCGGCACCTCTGGGTACCCCTCTGGTTTTTGGAGGGCTCTTCCCCACCTTGCCTGTTGCTCTGCACAACTCCTACCCTGCCTTCCCTCTCCAGCCCAGCACAGGCACTGCTGGATCCTGGCTGCCATCCCCACCAGCCAGTGGATGAGGAGTCTGGCTGAGGGCACAGAGCCAAGGAGTGCTGGGCTCCACTCCCCAGGCAGGGAGGCGGGATGGCTGGGCCCTGCACAGGGTCACCGTGACTGGCTCTGTGGCCACTGGCTCTGTGGCCACAGGCACGTGCCCAAGCGACGGCTGCTGCCAGCGCTGCTCTCTGGGTGCTCCGGCGTCCGCCCCCGTCCCCCTCCTAGCTGAGCACACAGGAAATAACTCATCGCTCTCCGGGTAAACATATTTCCCAAGAGTGAAACTGCCCAGCCAGGATGAGCGTCTGGCTGTAATTTACCTCCACGTGAGTGCCCTCCCACGCTCCACCCACCCCAGCGCTTACTCTGATCCACCAAGGCAATCCCAGCATCATTCCAGAGCTACCGACAAGTCCCGAGCCCCATAGGGCCGTGTGTGGCCTGTGCTCCTTTCCTTGCTGCCGGGGGAACTGCTCCCACAAGTGGCTGCTGAAGTACGGGAGGTCTCAGCGCCCCAAGCCTCCTTTGACAGACTCTTGTCTGGAAGTGCTTTATTGCTCTCTCTGAACCACATCAGCTCCCTGCCCACACTTTGGCCCTGCAGCACCGTCCCTGTGTGGAAAATCCCAACACCATGCTGCCTGTTCTCATGTTGGCCCTTTGGCAGCACATACCAGGGCAAGGGGGCAACAAAGGGCATGGATCCTACCAGGCAGCCATCACTGGGGGCCTGCTGGCAGTGGGGGCAGCCCAGCCATGCCCTCAACACCTCACTCATGTTGGCAGAAGTTCTTGAGCAGTTGGGGCAGGTCCAGGCCCTCGATAGCCAGGCGGTGCACGATGTGCTTCTGGATGACCAGCCGGCACAGCGTCTGCAGGGAGGGAACTGGAAGAGAACAGAGAGAGCAGCTGAGCTGGGCGAGTCAGTGGTGAGGCTAAGCACAGAGGGGTGTAGGAGCTGGCCTGGGCCTCCTCAGAGGCACTGGAGTTAAGGGCAGTGGTGGGGTGACTTTGTTCTGCAGCATCATCCTGCCCCAGGCTTGAGCCAGCTGTGCAGGACCTGGTGCCAGGCTGCTCCCCCAGGGCTGGGAGCTTAAGGGCCCCAGGCAGCAAAGCTCTTCCCATTAATAGGAAGAAGGCTGGGAAACAGTTATGCTCCCAAGCTGTGCATGACCGTGGCTTGTTTGCATTTCTTTCTCTGGCGGCTTCCCTGCAGTTCCCTTACATCCCACTCCCTTGGTCTGCTTCCACTGGCACCAGCACCAGGCTGGCAGGTGGGTACCAACTGGCCAGGGCTGCGCTGCCTGCAGAGACAGTGCCCACTGTGCCTTTGGGACAGACCACCATCAGCCATTGCCGGGGTGCTTGCCCAGGCTCTGCCTGGCTCCTGCTCCTGTGACACAACACCCTGTGGGATTCCTCCTCCCAGAGCCTCAGGTGGCTCCGCAGCATAGGTGCCGTCTACTGTGGTCAACACTCTCCTCAGGTGTTAAACCATGGAGAATCTCAGTCTTGGGACAGAAGCAGCTGTCCTTGGCACAAAGAGGGAAGCAGTGGCTCCCTGTGGTGGGAGCAGCTGGTACCCTGGTGCTTGCTCTCATTCTTGCTCAGTCTCACCTGATCCTCAGCATCTGCTGATTTTTCCAGAGCTAATTAGCCCTCGTTAGCCTGGCCCCTCCCATCCAGCCAAGGGACGCAGGATAATGCCCAGGCTCTGCCTGGCATCACGGGGTTTCTGCCCAGGGAACGCCATGTCCCTGGCACCCAGCAGATGCGGAGGTGCAGTGTGTCATACTGGGGTGGGCGGTGGGCGTAGGTGGGTGTTTTGGTGCCAGGGCAGGACGTTGGTTGACTGCGGCTGCCACGTGGTGTGGGTAAGACTGGGCTCGGCGAAGCTTCACAGCCCTGGGGCAGCTCCAAACACCCACCCCCATTGCCTGACTCAGGAAGGGTGGCCAGCAGGGCTGCTGCAGGGGGGGGGTCTCCCCTTGGCCCCAGCGCAGCCCCCATGGCAGAGATTTCAACAGGAGCCACGGGCTCTCCTGTGCCCTGCACCCCATGTCCCTCTGACCAGAGTCACACTCTGACATTCCCACTCTTGGGGACTATGGGGTGACCCCACCAGAGCCCCCCCCCCGCTCCTGGCCAACGCAGCACATGCCGCAGGGATGGGGGCAGGTACCTACAGCCATAATCCACTGGGATAACCCGGACGCTCTTGGTGGAGGCGAAGACATCAACGACGGCGTAGAGCGGGCGGGTGGTGGGCAGGCCCCTGGCGCTCGGCCCCATGTCCTCGCCGTTGATGATGATGTGCATGTCGGCGGTGCCGTCGGGCTGCGGTGCGTACAGCACCCCGATGCGGCTGCGCCGGGCGGTCGCGGGCAGCACGTTCATCTTGTACAGGTCGTCCAGGATGTGGCTGTAGCGGCCGGGCCGGCTGCGCCCCACCAGGGTGTCGCGGGGGATCCGCACCCGCTCGATCAGCAGGAAGGGCTCCCAGGGCGGGCCCCGCTCCCGCGCCTCCTCCCCATCCACCACCACGCGGTTGTGGCTCCGGGTGATGGCGAACACCCAGGTGTCCCCCATGTTGACCAGGTCCGGCAGTGAGTACTCAGGCACCACCTCCAGGCTCTGGGGGTCGTGGGCCGTCAGCCCCACGCGCAAGTGCCCGCACCAGCCCAGCTCCTTCTCCTCGATCTCCACCAGGAAGATCTGCCCAGGTGCCAGTGGCTCCTGGCTGAAGCAGAGCCCGTTGGCGAAGCTCTCCACCCGCGTGGCCAGTGTGCGTGAGGCGTCCAGGCGGACATTGGTGCCGTGGACGTGGTGGAAGCGCGCAGTGAGCCGGCACCGGGCAGCCATCACCAGCAATGCTATTTTTAGCTGTCCCTGTCACAGCTGCTGTGAGGTGGTGACAGCCTGTCCGGGAGGGACAACCAGAGGGCTCAGGGGGATCCTAGTGCTGCAGGGGAAGGAGTGGGGGGGACCCTGCAGTTGCTGGGGCGCAACCGGGCCCAATCCAGCACACAGAGACTTCACACAGTGCCTGCCCAGTGCTGCCACCTGGGCCGGGGTGCCTGGCTGTGCCTGTGATGGCCGGCAGGGACTGGTGGTGCTGGTTGTACATGGCTGTGCCCAGTGATGCCTGGCAGTGCCTGGTGGTGCTGGCTGTACCCAATAGTACCTGGTGGTGCCCAGCGGTACCAGCTATACTCAGCAGTGCTCGGTGGTGCTGGCTGTACACGGCGATGACTGGCAGTGCCTGGTGATGCCCAGCTGTACCCAGCAGTGCTGGGTGGCGCCCAGCTGTGTCCGGTGGTACCCAGCGGTACCGGCCATACCCAGCAGTGCCCGGTACCCAGCGGTGCTGGGTGACACCCGACTGTAACGGGTGGTGCCCGGTTGTGTCCACCCCGCCGCCGGCTGCTCCCGTTGTGGTGCGGGGGCTCCACCGCTCCCCCCCACCTCGCCATCCCCCGGTCCCGGTCCCGGTCCGGGGCCGCTCCCACGTGCGCGGGCGGGGGCGGGGCGGGTCCGGCCGCCCCCGGAGCACTGATTGGCCGCCGCCGGGCCCCGCCCCGCTCACGTGAGCGCCGCAGGTCATATGGGCGCGTGTCATGTGCCCGGCGGGAGCGGAGTCTGCGACCTCCGCGCCGGGAGCGGCCGCGGTCAGCGGGCACGGGGGGAGCGGGGCACACGGCACGGGGGGGCCGCCACCGGCGCCAGGGGAGCGGACCGGGCACGGGGGTCAGCCCCGCATGGGGGTCAGGCCCGGGGCAGCCGTGCCGGGGCGCTCGCGGGGCGCCGCCGCGGCCGTTCGTGGCCGGCAGCGCCCTGACCGCGCCTCCCGCCCGCCGCAGATGGGGCCGCTGCTGCTGTTGTCGTCGGTGCTGCTGCTGCTGCTGGGGCTGGGCCGGGCCGCCCCGCCGGAACACGAGGTGACGTACCTGGCCGGGCTGCCCAAGCAGCCCTCCTTCCGCCACTTCTCGGGCTACCTCTGCGCTGGGCCGGGCAAGCACCTGCACTACTGGTACGTGGGGCTGTGCCTGGCGCTGGGAGGGGATCGGCCGGCACTGGGCACTGACGGCTGCGCGTCCGCAGGTTCGTGGAGGCCCAGAGCAACCCCCAGGGCAGCCCCCTGGTGTTGTGGCTCAACGGGGGTCCCGGCTGCAGCTCCATGGAAGGCTTCCTCAAGGAGCATGGCCCCTTCCTGGTTAGTAGTCACTGCTGTCCTGTGGCTCGGGAGCACAGGGAATGACTGGATGCATGGCACGAGCCATCCTGCTGTCCCCAGCCTGGCTTAGCCCATGGGTCACTGCCTTCTGCTTCCCCAGATCCAGCCCGATGGGGTCACGCTGAAGTACAACGAGTACGCCTGGAACAAGGTACGGGCGCAGGCGCTGCCGCCCTCCGTGGCTGCCGTATGAGATGGCCCTGAGCCAGTTCCTCCTGCCCTCTCCGTGGAGCCAAACCTCCTGCTACCCCCTCGCCCAACACACCCTTTTCTCCAGTCTGCTGAGCAGCACAGGAATGTGGCCACCTCAGCACAGCCCTGGGGCGGGCTGGGCACCCATGGGTGCTGCCATGGGTGAGGCCAGCGGCCTTCGGCTTTGCTGAGCCATAGGAGGGTGTCCCCTGATCGCCGGCTCCTCTGCTGTCCTCGCAGATTGCCAACATCCTCTATCTGGAGTCTCCCGCTGGCGTCGGCTTCTCATACTCCGATGACAAGAAGTACGGCACAAATGACACAGAGGCGAGTGACTGGCGTGCTGGGAAGGCCCTGCCCCCCATCTGCCCTTTGCGTAGGGTCCAGCCTCACCACCTGACCCTGCCTCCTCCTCCTCCCTGCAGGTTGCTCACAACAACTACCTGGCACTGAAGGATTTCCTCCGCCTGTTCCCTGAGTACTCCAAGAATGATCTCTTCCTCACAGGGGAGAGCTATGGGGGGGTCTACATCCCCACGCTGGCAGAGTGGGTGATGCAGGACCCCAGTCTCAATTTGAAGGTGGGTGGCTGGGCTCTGCTGGGGAGCAGAGGGCTCAGCACGGCCTCGCCGGGGCCCTTGAGCAGCACCAGGGTGGGGACTGGCTGTGCATTCAGTGTATAGGGTCCCCTCCAGGACAGAGGGCAGGCCTAGCCCTGCGGCCTTTCATCTCCTCCTGGGGTGCTGGCAGAGGCTACTGGTGGACGTGTCCATCCCTGCTGCTGGGGAAGTGTCCTCAGGCACCCCTGACCCTCCCTGTTCCCTCTGCGGAGTAAACAGTGCCACATCTGCTTCCTGCCTGGGGCCGCTGTGCTGCAGCCACCCCGCGGGGAGCTGGAACACAACAGGGTTGTTTTCTTCTTGCCTTGCAGGGAATCGCTGTGGGAAACGGCCTCTCATCTTATGAGATCAATGACAACTCCCTGGTTTACTTTGCCTATTACCACGGGCTGCTGGGGACCGAGTAAGAGCAGGGGGAGTGCTCAGTGTGCCCTGTGTGAGCACATTGAGCTCACAGGGCTTGGGCTGGTGGGTTGGTGTTGTTGGGACAAGGGTGGCTCCCAGCCTGCCCTGGGCCAGCAGTCAGGCTGTGGAGGTTGCCCTGTGTCCCAGGCAGCTCCCAGGTGTGTATTTGTGGGGCACAGAGGGCACCAGGCCAAGCTAGGTGCCACATGGGTGCTGGACAGGGAGCTGCAGCGCAGCCGTCACGTTGGTGTTGCTGCCTGGGCAGTGTGGTCCAAGCCCTGGTCTCTGCCCACAGGCTGTGGAAGGACCTTCAGGCCTTCTGCTGCTCCGAGGGGAAGTGCAACTTCCACGACAACTCCAACCTGAACTGCACGCTCAAGGTGAGGGGATGTGGAGCCCCTGTACACGTGCCCAGCGTCAGTGTCTGTGAGCAGCACCCACCTGGCTCTGGGTGGGTCCACGGTCCCAAGAGGGTCTTGCTGAGTCCCAAACCCTTCTCGTGGCTCCTTGCAGATGGGCGAGATGATTCAGATTGTAGAGGAGTCTGGCCTCAACATCTATAACCTCTATGCCCCGTGTGACGGAGGTGTCCCCGGGAGTCTGAGGTAAGAGTGGCCTCAGGGAAAAAGGGTCTCCAGGCACCGGCTCACTTTGATCCCACTGGCAGAAGGACATGGTGGGCTGGGGAGGGGGTCCTTCTGGGACAGGTGGATGGTGTCTGGCTGCTGCCAAGGACTTGCCCAGGGAGGGCCCTGAGCCCTTGTTTCCCCAGGGCTTTCAGCCTGTCCTCGTGCTCATCCTGGCTGCAGGTATGAGGGTGATTATCTCATCACACACGACCTGGGCAACTCCTTCATCCGGATGCCTCTGAGATTCTCCTGGCGGCAGGTGAGCCGAGGTGCCCGTGCTGCTGGGCTGAGAGCAGCCTGTGCCTGGCCAGTGGTGCTGCTGTGACAATGACTCTCCTGACTCTCCCAGAACCTGTTCCGGATGCCAGTAGCCCGGAGGAAGGTCCGTATGGACCCGCCCTGCACCAACTCCACAGCCCCCAGCATGTATCTGAACTCCCCGGAGGTGCGGAAGGCTCTGCATATCTCCCCTGAGGCCCCGGAGTGGCAGGTGTGCAGGTGAGAGAGCTGTGGGCAGGCAGGGACTACCACGAGCAGGAGCAGCTGCATGATGCCAACACTTCCTCCGCAGCTTCGAGGTGAACCGCAACTACAAGCGCCTGTTCATGCAGATGAACGAGCAGTACCTGAAGCTGCTCGGGACCACGGTGCGTGCAGGGGAGCCCACGGACCCTGGGAGTGGCTCTGCCAGCCCAGCCTCCTGCCTGGCTGGGGTTGGTGTCCTGGCCAAGGGCTCACCCCCTGTCTGCTCCGCAGAAATACCGGATCCTGGTGTACAACGGGGACGTCGACATGGCCTGCAACTTCCTCGGGGATGAGTGGTTTGTGGACTCCCTGTGCCAGAAGGTAAATGGGCAGGGCACGGCCCAGACCAGGCCAGTCCCTGGCTCCAGGCTGTGTTCTGGGGCTGGTTGCGGTGGGAGCGTGGGCAGGGCTGGCCCCAGGCATTGAGGGCGCTGCCATCACTCCCAGGTGCAGGTGGCTCGACGGCCCTGGCTCTACACTGAAAATGGTGAGAACCAGATCGGGGGCTTTGTGAAGGAATTCGCCAACATCGCCTTCCTCACTGTCAAGGTAAGACTGAGGGCTTTGGGGGCCAGGGATGGGGCTGCGGGTGGGTGTGCTGGACACCAAGGCTGCGGTCAGCATGGGGTGGTGCTGGCTAGACTGTGGCAGCACCACAGCCATGCTGACTGCTGCTGCCCCTTTCCTGCAGGGAGCTGGCCACATGGTGCCCACGGACCGGCCGCTCGCTGCCTTCACCATGTTCTGCCGCTTCATTAAGAACCAGCCTTACTAGGAGCTGCGGGGGCAGCACCCGGTGTGCCGGCTGCCCTCACCACCCCACTGCCCTCACTGCCGGCACCTCGCACAGCCCAGTCCTCGCTGCTGCTCGGCTACACCACAGACCTGTCACACCTGCAGCCTTCCTCCCAGCTGGACAGGGCTGCCTGCTGTGGGTGGGGGGCATGGAATTGAATCCTGAGGGCTCTGTCCTTGATGGGAGAGGAGTCATGTGCCTGCTGCAGCTGCCTCCTCGCTTGTGGCTTCCTGTCTTGCCTCCCCCCTGTCTGCAGCAGCAGCTGCTACCCTCCCAGGCAGGGAGCAGTCCTGGCACATCCCCTTGGCCCTGCACACACGGCCTGGGCAGGCTCTGAGGAGCAGCAGTGGTGGATGGCTGGGCCCTGCTCCTTCCACCCTGCTCCCACGGAAGGAGGCTCAACCACCACAACCACAACAATCCCACTGCCAGGGCACACAGTGCTTCAGGAAGTTGCAATAAACTCTCTGACCGAGGTGGTTCTGCTCCTCCTCACACCCCTGTGCCAGCCCCTGCTTAGCTTTCCTCTGCTGAGGAGTACCGGTGAGTGCCAACACCCTGTGCCAGGGAGCTCTGGGCTTGACCCCCTCTACAAGGGTCCCTGCAGCTTGAAACAAGTGAACTGCCTGAGCAGCAGCAGTACAGTTACTCTGAGCCCTCTGGCACTACTCTGAGCTCCGTTTGTTGCCAAGGACCTGAGCTGGGCAGCAGTGCTGGCTGCCTCCTTCCCATCTCCATGCCGTGTGTCCCACATGGGCACATCCTCCAAACAACAGGGCCGTGCATTTGGAGGCGGGTAGTTTATTAGTGTAATGAGAATGGGTGCAGCAGGGTTTCCCAGAGCATCTCTCTCCACCTTGCTGCGTCCCACCAGGGCATGGGCACCCTGAGGATGTGCCAGTGGTACCAGGGAAGCTGCTTCCTACCTACAGTCTACGGGTCCAGCCCAGGATCTGCCCTCAGTCCAGGGAGAAGAGCTAGAGTGAGCCGGGGTCCAGGCTGGGCTCTGCGGGCTGGGAGCTGGGATAGGCAGCGGCGGTGGGCACGGGGCGGTATTTATCAATCACCTCCCGCAGCCCCTTGGAGAAGTGCAGATCAGCTCCCACCGTGAGGAATCCCTGTGGGGGGAAGAAGGTCAGTGTGAAGCTGGGGGTGACGGTCCCTTGCCCAGCAGGGTGTGGGGGCCTGGGCTGTCTCATCTTGCCACGTACCGCGTGGTTGGTGACCACCTCCCTGGTGAAGTCCATGCCTTCAGGCAGGGGAATCTGCACTCCCTTCTTTGTCCTCTCTGCGGGGAGGGAGAGACAGGGTGAGACTGAGCCCCTCTGAGCCCCTGCCCAACCCAGCTGCACAGGAGCAGCGATGCCTACCATTAAGGATTGGCATGATGGTCAACTGCAGGAGAGTCTTCAGTGGGGCTTGCAGGGAGAACAGCTGCGGGAGAGGAGCTGAGGTCAGTGCAGAGGCAGAGCTGCCAGCCAGGGTGGGGAGGACTGCAAGTGGGAGTCCTGGGTGGGCAGCACCTCCCCAGCCCACCCTACACTGTGGCTGGTTGAAAGGGTTCCCAGGCCATCACCATGAGCTCACCGCCAGGGACTCCAGCGCTGACTGCTTGGAGTAGATGCGAAACCTGGAGGGGAGGAAGCAGCCGTGAGTGGGGTGCGGACAGGACTGTCCCCATGCCCCCACGGGACCCCAGACGTACCGTCGCAGGTCCAGCTGCACACGCAGTGCCTTCCCTTGCAGAAACACCTTGGCACTCAGCTTGGTTTCCTGGGGAGAAGGAGGGCTGACTCACAGCAGGCAGAGGGACAGCCAGGCCAGCCCAGTGTCCCTCTGTTCTGGGACACCGGTGCCTTCCCACACAGGATGGTGCATGCTCCTCCTGTGTGCACCAGGGTGGCCTCACAAAGAGCCCTGGCCTCCCCCTCACCACAGTCATGCTGGAGAGCTGGACGGGCGGGCGGTCCGGAGGCACCAGTGAGATGTTCAGGAAGGCAGAGACGGAGACGGAGGTGCCCAAGGGTTTGATGGTGCAGCGAGGGGGAGCTGAGACCTGCAGCACCAGCCGTAGTGGAGCATCCACGGAGGGGCTCTGGGGAGGGCAGGTGAGCTGGAGGCAGGGAGCAGGGCAGGGCTGTGCTCTGCCCCCAGGCTCTCCCGTGCCTCCCGCCCCATGCGGGGGCTCCTCACCAGCATGAAGATGGTCCCGAAGAAGGTAGCTCTCAGCAAAACCTCCAGGTCCTTGGGCACCTGCGGGGAGAACAGACCACCAGAGGGGAAGTGAGGCGCTGCTGTGGGTCCCAGCAGAGCTGCTCCCTAAACTGCACCTCCTGTGCTCTGCGGCACAGCCCAGCCCTCCCTTCTGCCTGTGCACAGCCAAGTGTCCGGCACTCCTTACCTTCTCCCCCTGGAGCTCAATGTTCAGCACTCCCGCCTGGAAGTACGCGAGCATAGCTGAGTCAAAGAAGTACTCGGAGAAGGCAACATAGACCATGCGTTCAGTCTCCTTGATCACCGGCTCCACTGCGTGGTTCTCCAGCTCCTGGTCCTCTCTCACCCGTGGGAAGAACATGCCCTGGGCCAAGAGCAGGAGAGGTTCCCACAACCATGGGGCAGCCCACCCTGCTTGCTCTGTGGAGCCCAGTGTGCCTGCTGACACAGCCATTCCCACAGGGATGGGAAAGATCAGCAGGGCAGGATCCAGTGTTCACCTTGAAGTCGAGGTCAAGGGTGTCACTGGAGACGGATGGATCCCGCAGGAGGGAGTAGTCAATCCCGATGTGTTCATCCACATAGTTCCTCACTGCCAGGGAAGATGTGCTGGCGTGACCAAGCCTAGAGCTGCCCAGCAGCCTGATGCCCAACCCTGCCTGCCACAAGGTGAGCAGGATCCAGTCCCTTCCCTAGGGCAACACTCACCGGGCACCGTGTCCAGCAAGGAGTTCAGCAGCACCAGGCTGGCGTGCTCCAGGGACGGGCAGATCTACAAGGCAAGGAGCTGGGCTGAGGGGAATCGCTCCCAGGACTGGATGAAAAGCTACACAGGCAGGGCAAAGCCTGGCCCCCCTGGGCTCCATCACCTGTCAGTGCTCAGCCCTACCTGCTGGCTGAGGAGGTAGCGCATCCCCGTGATGATGAAGGTGCTCAGGAACTCATAGACCTTCCTGCAGGACAGGAGAGCAGCTCTGCACTGCCTGCCCTCCCTGTGGCTCCGTCCTCATTCCAGCACACAGCTGAGCTGGGGAAGCACCCCAGGAAGGAGGTCAGGGAGCCAGGCACAGGCAGAGGGGTCTGGTGTACCTGAGTGTGCCGGAGAAGCCGGCGTGCATTCTGGCAATGGAGGCATTGCAGGTGATGTTGGAGATCTTGGGGCGCCCAGCCTCATCCTTGGCCAGCCGCAGCACCGTGTGGATTTGGACACCATCCGCAGAGGCATTGATGGACCCGATGTCATAGCTGAAAGCCAGGGAAGCAGATGAGAGGAGCACACAGCTCCTGCCACCTGCAGGGCAGCAAGGCATCCGTGGCACCCAGTGGGCACAGCTGTGGGGTGAGCTGGTGCCCAGGCAGCAGGAGGGGAGGCAGCTCACAAGAACCAGTAGAGCAGCTGCCTGCGGAAGCGCAGGCTGATGGAAGCATTGTTGATATTGAAGGCGAGGTGCTGCTGGGGCTGGAAGTTCAGGTCCGAAGATGCCAGCTGCAGGTCCGTCACCCTGACCCTGCGGGGAGGGGACAGGGATGGTCAGACGGACAAATGGACCCAGGGAGCCCTGGGCATGGGCAGCACTCACTGGCTGATGTTGTAGTGGAACTGCCCCTCCTTCCCGTGCAGGTCTGAAATCGTGATGTTCTGCAGCTCCTGCTCCACGAAGCGCAGCCCCTCCTGCTTCACTGCAAGGCAGAGCGAGCCCGGGCTAGGACAGCCGGGCTGCGCTGCCCTCCAAGCAGCATCGCCCCCGCCAGCCCCCTGCTCCTCCTCGGCCACACCACGGGTGGGCAGTGCAGGCAGAGCCCTACACAAATGCAGACCCCAGGAGCCAGGTGTCCAACCTCCCTCTTTCCCAGGCCCCGGGATCCCGGCCGGCCCCTTAACCCAAGTCCGGCCCCTTACCCAAATCCAGCCCCTTGGAAGTAATCCGGATCTTGCAGCCGGGGGGGCTGTGCGAGGCTGTGACCAGCCAGGGCAGGAGGAGGAGGAGGAGGAGGCAGCTGCCGGCAGCCATCTCACACCTGGAGGCAGAGAGCAGGGTCAGCACGGGCTGGCCTGGCAGGGTGCGCGGGGGTCAGCACGGGCTGGCCCGCGGGGCACACAGGGCGCTCCTGGCCACCCTGGAAGGGAGGTGGCTGCTGCCCAACCTGCCCGGAGCATGGGATGACCGCAAGGAACACCCCACGGCTTCACTGTTACCCCCGAAACCACCCAGTGCTACCCAGGTCCCCTTTGCCAGAGCCCCCGCCCCAGGGTGCTGCGCACAAGCCCCAGCACTGGCCCTGCGGGGCCCGAGGGTCCCACATCCCCTGGGCACACCCACTCCAGCAGTCCCCCCGCCCTGAACACACCCCGCTCCCCAAACCGCACGGCCAGCCCCGTGCGTGCTGCTGCAGCGGGGAGCCCCAGCACCCTGCAGAGGAGGGACCCCTCGTCCGCGGGGCCGCCCCACGGTCCTCACTGTACCCCCGAGATGTGCCGCCTGCCCCCAGGCTGGGCTGGGACGGGAGCTGGAGCCCGTCCATCCCGCAGCAACAGGCAGAACTCCCTGCAAGGCTGTGGGATGGGACGGGGCTCCACTGCAGCATTTTCCCCCAGGTCTGTGAAAGGAGAGGATGGGGACCCCTCTCCCCGGGGCTGTGGGGTCGGACGGGGCTCCCCCACAGCGTTTCCCCCAGTTCTATAAAAGGAAGAGGATGTTGACCCCCTGTCCCCGGAGCCACTGTTCTACCCGAGGCTGGGGGGTTCCCCCGCACAATGCCGGCTCAGTTCGGGTACTTACAGCGAGGATTTCTTTGGCTCCCCGGTGCGGGGAAGCTGAATCACGTGAAGGCAGGAGAGCGGGAGAACACCACCAGCTCCAGGAGTTTCTTTTGAGCCGGCTGAAGTTCTCCTGCCTTTATATATCCCCCAGTTGCCACTCCTTGCTGGCCCACAGCTGGGAGGAGACAGCGGGACAGACGGACGGGGAGGATGCAGGTCGGTGTCCCGCCGAGCCCGGCTCGTTGCCAGCATCGGCAGGACAGCGGCTCGCTCTGTCGCCCGGCTCCAGGCTGGCCACGCAGCCTCCTTTCCCCCCCAAAAAAAACCACCGCTCCTCGCATGTCCCACACACCCAGCCACAGCCCTGGGCCTGCCCAGCACCCCCCTGCGAGGGGCACGCGTGCAAACGGGGGCCGGGAGGATCTGTGGTTATAAAACCCCTGCCAGTGCTGAGCTCCTCCAGCTCCAGCACAGGCTCTGTGGCCCCGGGCCGGGGGTGCTGCCACGGTCTGGTTCGTGTACATGTCTGACATGAGCCTGAGCAGAGAAGCCGCCGAGGCTGTGGACTCTCAGTGCTGCCCCCACGGCCGCTGCCCCGACCCCTGTGACCACCCGGGCAGCTCTGGCTCTTCACGACGTGCCTCTGCCTGGCGTTCTCCGGCAGCCTGGGGGTCACAGCACTGTGAGGGGCACTGGCAGAGAGTCCCCTGCAGCGCCCTTGTCACCATCCTGCTCCACCCACCCGTCATGGGGAGGACGGGCCGGTTCTCAGCCTGGGGCTTCTTCCCAAAAATCCTGCCGGGGCGAGCCATGCCGAGGGGGCTGCCTCTGCCCTCACCACCCCCTCGGCCACTTGAGCCGCCTCTCTCCGAGGACACTGTCCCTCTGAAGAGTTCCCTCTGCCCCCGAGGGGTCAGTCTGAGCCGGCCCTTTGTGCCCGGGGCGGTTATCGGTGCTCTGGGCAGCGGAACCGGGCTGCTGGGAGCCCAGCGCGGGAGCCTCAGTGCTTACACAGCACTTATCCACTTATCCCCTCCAGAACTGCTGCGCCAGCATTAACTCATTAAACTGACCCCGGTGCTCCCGGAGCAGAGGGCAGGACTCCGTGGAGACCGAGCGGGATGGGAAGATGGGAAACCCCTTGGAAAGCTGGCCAGCGGGGATATCCCAGAGGGAAAGTGCAGAAGAGGGACCGTGGCTGGGGGTGATGGCCCTGCGGCTGCCCCTGCCCGTCTCCACAGGGGCCGTGGGCCAGCACCAGCCATCGGGGCTGAGCCCGCGTCAGGACGGGACACTCTGCAGGGTGGGTGTGCCGGGGGCTCGGCTCCTGCAGCCCCTCAGGGACACCCCGACAGCCGTGTCCCCCTTCCCCGTCCCGTGTCGCCCTCCAGCACAAGCTGCGCAGCAGCCACCGGCCGCGGGGCAAGGGAGCGACCCCGGCCAGCGCTGCACAGCGTCCCTCACAGCGCGGCCCCGCCGCCGGGATCTGCGGGAGGGGGAACGGCCACGGCAGCGGAGTACGAAAGGATGCGTCAGCGCTGCGCCCGAGGGACCGCCTGGACCATGAGGGACCGCCAGGACCTTCAGGGCCCAGCAGCGGTGGCGGAGCCGGCCCGGGCCGAGGAGCGGCCGCTGTGCCCGGCGGGTAGCGGAAGCCCCGCGCCCGCACATCAATGCGGCCCCCCCGGCCCGGCCGCGGCCCCACCCCGGCGCCGCTGCGCTTCAAAGGCCCTTTGGTGGCGACCGCCGCAGCCGCGCCCTGTCGGTGCCGGGAACCGCCCGCGGCGCGCGGGTGGGGCCCGGGGGGCCCCGGGACAGCCCGGGCGGGGCCGCGCCCCCTGCGGGGCGGTGCCGCCACAAAGATGGCGCCGGGCGGGCGGGGCGACCTCTCTCCCCCAGCGCGCATGCGCCGGGCGGCTCCCCCGAGCGCGGGCTCGGCTCCACGCATGCGCCCCGAGCCCGTGGCCCGCGGCCCCGGCGCAAGATGGCGGCGGCGGGGCGGGCGAGGCGGAGGTGGGGCGGCGGCGGCGGCAGACGCAGCGGTGCCCGGTGCCTGCAGCCCCCGGCCTCACGCCCAGGTAAGCGGCGCGACCGCGAGGCCGCGGCCCGCCGTGCAGGAGGAGGCGGCGGGGGGCGGGCGGCGGAGGGTAGGCGGCGCAGGCCCGCGGCCGCCATCTTAGAGCGCGGCCGCCGCCGCCGCCGCGCTCCCGCCACTGCGCCCCCGCTGTGCCCCCGCCGCGCCTGCGCGCCCCGCGGCCCCTCCCCGCGGCGCCGTAACGGGCTCCTGTCTCCGCAGCCGCCCCCGCGGGCCAGGCGCGGGACGCCCCGCTATGAGGATGCGGCCCCGGCGCGCCAGCGGCGAGCACGGAGCGACGGCCACGCGTCCCGCCAGGCAGCCCGCCACCGTAAGTACCCGCCCGGCCGGCCGCCGCCCCGCTTAGGCCGCGCCCCCGGACCGCTCCCGGCCAGCCTGCAGAGTTGTCGCCGCCGCCGCCTCCGCTCCGCACTCGCTGGGCGCCGGTGGCCGCCCGCCGGTCCCGGCCCGCCGCGCCGAGGAGCTCCGTGCCGTCTCCGCCGCCGGCAGGGCAGCCCCCGGGAGCTGCCCGGCAGCTTCCCCCGCGCAGACACGGTGTCCCGGTCCCCAGCGCCCTGGTCCCGCTCTCGGGAAGGGGATGGTACCGACGGGGGAGGCGGTGGCCTGGTTCCCAGCCTCCTGGAGCAGCCGCGGTTCTGGGATGGGGGAGAAGCGGGGGTGTCCCGGGGGGCTGTCGCTACTCTCCTTTGTCTGCATTTGCTGTTGTCTTGTACAAAATCCTACTTCGGTGAAATGGAAACAAATACCGGTCCTGTTTGCTGTACTTCTTTACTCTGTGTCTCCTTACCCCTCGCTGTGGTCTCCGGTTGTGCTGCTGCTCTAGGTTGTAAGCTCTCTGGGCAGGGACAGCGTTGTACCGTGTCTGTGAAGCACTGTATGCATTGCCATGGTGTATAAAAACATTCCGTAATCACCACAAAATGCTTCCTCTGGATCCCTGTCACTGTCTAAGTCCCAGTGTAGTTACATAAAAGTAGAGTTGCTTCTGCCAGGATTCTTGTTAGTTTGGCTGTTTCCTCTTCCCAGACCTTAAGGGTACTTGGATTTAATACTCGTCAACACTGATCAAGTGATAAAGCTTCTTGGCTACTTCCCCCATTCCAGTTTATCCATAAATGGGAGAAGGCAGAGCCAGTGACCCTATTTGACAGCTCTTTTGAGCAATAGGTGGTGAAAAACACTGGCAGGTCACTGGAGCTGGTGTGTGCCATCCGGGCTGGGCAGGGCTCGGTGCCCAGTGCTGTCTGTATATTGACCTCCATCCCTTTGGGAGCCCTGGTCCCCCCAGTACATACCAGTTCACTACAGTGTGTGCTCTGTGCAACGTGCAGGACACAGCAGCAGGTGCGTGTGCACGTGTGGTTTTAGTTTGAGTAGGAGGAGGAGGAGCTAAACATCCTTCAGAGTTTCCTGCACCGGCCGGGTGAGGCTCCTGCCTTGGGGTCCCTGTAGTCCCTGTGCCCACAGCTTGACAGGGGTCAGGCTGCCACCCTGACTGCTCTGCCACTGGCTTGGCTCACCTTGGCACCTTTGTGAAGTGACTGTGAGGGCATGGCGGGGTTGGAGTTCAGTGTGAAATTGCACAACGTTCACCTGCTGAGGCTGTTAAAGGCCCGTGATTGCATCCAGCGCTCTGCAGCAGGCACAGGGATTGTCACCTGCCTGCTCCTGAGCAGAGACCCAAAGTCTGCGGTGTCCCACACCTTTCCTTGCATACACTGCCTGGAAGGATGGAAACATCTTCTGAGGGGCTGAAGGGGTTGAGTTCCTCAGCGCTGATTCCACAACTGGTGCTGTGGGCAGCGGAGCTACAGGTAGCTGCTGCCTCCTGCCATTCTGCTCTGCTGAAATAGCCAGTGGGCTTTATGCACAGGAAGGGCAGCAAAGGTGATTAAATCCAAGTGATTTAGCCCACAGAAATCCAGAGCTTTTACTGAAGAGCTGCCGTACGCGGCTCCTGCTTCCGGCTACTGCCGTGCTCAGGTGAAGAACACGCTGTGCACAGCACTGTTTTGCTGCTGCCCTGACTGTGCTGGTGTGTCCTGTGGGGTGTCTCCAAGGCCTGAATAGAGTTTGGTATCCGAGGTAGCTGGGAATTACGTAAAATGCCTTGTTTCCCCCCAGTTCATTGCCAGTGTGTTCGGGCTGCCAGAGAGGAGCAATCTGTGGAGCTGTTTCAGAAACTTCCCCGGGGGAAGAGTGGTGACTAAGAGAGGAAAAGCCTGGCTGTTTCTCTCCAGCTGGCAACATTAGATTATGATTAAGAGGAGCTTTATTGTTCCAACAGACCTTCTTTTGCATAACTGTTGTTATGCAGATGAAAAAGCACCAAGGGCCAAAACAGTTCTGGCTGAGGCCGAGCAGTTACTGTGGACCTGGGACATATGGAGGAAAATAATTTGGGAGGTCCCAACGCCCAGCCTGCGGTTCTCTGAACCACAGAAGTTGTTAGTGAAGCTCCAGGGCTATTTTATGTAGCAGAATTTTTTTTAATTAAAGCCTTTTGTTTAAATGATGTGCAGTTATGTGTGGGTAAGTGTTGATTTAAACTGTCTCTGAGGATAACAGATCAGACATGGCCGGTGGTATTGGCATGGCAGAAGGTGACACATAATCACAGAGGAGTGTATGTTATTTTTTTATACTCTCAGTCCTGATGCTCCACTCTTAGGAGGGACTTAGCTGAAAAGTGAATATTTTGAATGCTGGCCTGAAGAACACCCTGGCTGGCCCCATTTAACACTCAGCACTCCTCATAGATGATTGTGTCCAGGATAACAGGTGCTTTTCAGGGCTGAGGTGCTGTTTGTGTGTACTGGTTCAATCCTTGTTTTATTGTCAGAATGAACTTGTAGTGCTACAGCCGAGTGGATCTGGGATCATTCCTGCTATAATTCTGCATGTTATGTCTGTTTTTTCTAGTGTGGTTGCTGAGAAATGGCCAATGAGAATCACAGAAGCCCTGCGGAGGAAGCGTCTCTCATGAGTCACTCACCTGGCACCTCCAACCAGAACCAGCCCAGCTCCCCCAAACCCATGCGCCTGGTACAGGACCTGCCAGGTACGGGCTACCCTTGGGAATTCTGCAGGGCCCTGGGAGCAGGAAGGGGGGCAGAGCGGGGCCGCCAAGGGAGGCTGGGAACGATGTGTGTTGTGTGTGTGCTGTGACAGAGCTGGGACCTGCAGGGCAGGGCTGTCGTGCAGGATGCTCCTCTCCTGACTCCCTCTGTCCTCTCAGATGAGCTGG